ATCACAGTGATATTTTTGATTAAACCGAGTGGTTGGGGAGTTAATTCACACAGCGCGAGTCGTCTTACAGTAATTAGCAATACAGCGCGACTGAGTGGCCATAAACGTGTGAAGAGGAGCGTCAGAAGCAGGAAAACAGTGATGTGATTTACACAATTTATTAATTGATCAAGATAAATGATGAGTGATAAAGGCTCTCGCAGAATCTCATGCAATTCAAAAGACTGCAATGCGCGCGAAGCGACGAACCGCGCACATTTGAATTGATCTTGACACACTTTGAGAGCTGAAAACTGTGTTAATTTTCATGCAATTGTTCTCCTCATCATGATCTCCCCTTTATGGTGGCGTTTTCAAAATCCCCAACAATACAAGAGAGCGCACGCCATAAGTGTGCAATTTAGAGCTGGACGAATTGCGCTCAAGCTGAAATATATAATGAGGAGAGGCCTCAATTTTCCGAAAAATTGAGAGATATTAATAGCCATCATCTTGCCAGACGCTCCACTTCTTCGCCACTGTTAACATGATGGATGAGGACGAGAAAGTATCAAGCAGAGAGGGCAGAGAGAATTTTTTTCCGTCACTGCAAGAAGTCAGAGTCTTGTTTGGAAGGTGTTGGAGCATGACGATAAATTTTAATCAAGAAGGGAAACACGAAAAATGAGCTATAAATTAAATATATGAGAAGTTATACTTGTCTATCAAAGTGAAAATAGCACGAGAATTGTTAATTGTAGTGAAATGCCAAGAGTATAAAATTAATTCATGTTCTCCTCCCAATTAAACCTAATAGATTTTTTTGGGGGTCTTCCAGAATATGCTCTTGTGTTTTTATGACTCTTTATTCTCAATATGTAATTAAATTAACACACCGAAAAATTATACGTGTGACCACAAAAACGTTTTCCGCGTTGCTATGAATTTCCTACAGAAGGTAATCAAATTACTTTGTGCCTAAATAGCAGATGAGGAGAATGAAGTAATCCTCTCTCTCATTCATGCCTCAAAGATTACTTCATTGCCTTGGAATTCAATTGAGTGCTGAGGACTCGAGTTTGCAGACTTTTCGTGAATTACACAGATTTGATGGTTCAGGATTTCATATCCAATTGTAACTGTACTTTAATCGCGAGATCATTAAACCCTTTCTATGTGATAATTTCAGCAAGATGAGAGGCAAATTACAAGATCCCTTGAGTCAACATCGTGGAAATATCATGTAAAGCTGCCAATCCCTCACGAAAATGTGCCACATTAAAACCTCCGCACGCCAGCATTTTCTTGCCATGCACAGAGAGGAAAATTGGCGCGGCGGGAATTGGAATACATGATGTTACGAAATGCAACATCTCTCTCTCTCGCCATTGTACTTATTGAACGCTGTGCGAGAGAAAAAGAAATCTCGCCAGCCAATTGTTTTCGCATCATCGTTTTGTGTGTCTCTGGAGCATGTTCCATTTTTGGGGCCGTGCGAGGATTGAGGAAATTGGGTGAAGAGCGAAATTGACGCATGGGAAAATGACTGATTCATGGTCGAGTGATGGCCGGATTAATTGGTGGATGTGCGCTGATCATGCGCAGTGGCGCGGCGCTAAATAATCGGTTTGGCGGAAAATGCGAGAGACACTCTGTGCTTTGGGCCAAACAATCATATCTGATGTCTGGCATCGATCAGCAGCTGCAGAAGACTTGGGTTGCCGATCAAGTGGAGCGAGAAGTGCGGCAAAGTGTGAGAGGATTAATTGATTCCATATATGAAGAAATCACCTCGGACGAGATTCATTGCAGTCATCTGCAGAGCGCGATTGATGGTTTTTGTCTCGCAATCGCCCCAAAGAATGTCCCGAGCGATTTGTATCTGATCTGCTTCTTCACCCATTTCCTGCCCGCAAGACGTCCAAGAATCCGCCTCGATCTTCATTAAGCAATTAGTTTAGTGATCTCAAATAGCACCTGGAAGCGCTCCCTCGTGACGAGCAAACCATGCAAAAGACCGTGGACTTCAACTCGCAGATCAAAGATTGACTTTTTGCCTGCCTTCGTGCAATCATGTGTCGCTTTTTTTCGAGGTTCACCTCCAACACTGTTTGACTTCCGAGTCGCTTTTTTCCTCAAACAGCGACCATTACATAAATGAGGCAGAAGTGTAAGATCATTGCGTGGAATCCAAATGAAGAGATTGTTAAATTGAATTAGATGAAGTTGCGCAGCGAAGAAAATCTCACTGAGAAATTCTTTTATTCATCTTCCGCGTGTTATTCGGTCGGATGTCTTCATTTTTGTCGCGAGTAATCATGAGAGTACAGAGTGTGGTCTAAGTGAATGTTGATGACCGTGAGTGACAACATCGCTCATGCTTGCTAGAATTGTAGTGAACATTTCGGTGCTAGAGAGACGATAATTAATGAGATTAGCAGTCGTCACTTGGATAGCATCTTGCTCATGTAAATAAGCGGCAAATGCCACAATCCGTTGCTCAAGACCACCTCCAGAAACCATTTTACTTTAACGATAGTGTGGGAGTTCTGAGATGCTTGGAAACCGCCCGAAAAAATGGAGTGGTAATTGGGCCTTTTTGATGAATTCATGATTCAAGAGATTGCGAAAATGCCGAACGGAGAAAAGTTATGTAAAATGCTATTTTTGCCACGAGACATGGAAATGCGAATGCAAATGAATTTCTTATAGAAAGTGTTGTTTCTCCTTGCGTCACCATCAAAATTCCCTAATCAAAACAAATATTGACGAACCGTGAAGATTGTCAAATATAGTGATTGAATTCTACGATGTGAATAGCCTTCAATTTGCAGTTGAAGGATTTCTGGTGATTAATAACAGAATTTCGTACATGTAATGAAAAAGATGGTGAGACATAAAGACCACCTGCAGAAGAATCGAAAAACACAGTGTGGCTGAACAAAAGAACGCTGAAATTGAGGGAAAAAACAGAGAAAACATCTTTCTCGCCTCTGGACATTCTCTTTTGAGTGACTCTAAATAGACGCGGAATATATCACTGGATGAGACTTTTGGGTGGAGGTGATGGTCAAAGACCTCATCAATCGCTTCTTATTTCACTTTTTTCCGTGGCTTCTGCACCGAATTTCTCTTCTTCTCTCGTGGGCTCACATTTAATTTACTCTCATCTGCCATTCCACATGGCTGATCGTCATTTATGCCACCTTCAGTCACGAGAATTCTATCAAATCCGCACTCTTCCGCCTCCATTCGCGAAAGTGGACGGAAAAAAGGGCAATTGTCGCTGAGTGGCAATAAAAGTGCGCTCTCTGATTGATTGATGAACGGAAGGCATGAGATACAAATCGCCGCGAGAGTCCTGTTATTATTGATCGAGTATCTAGCGGAGGGAGTTATAGATTTCCCGACGAGAGATCCATCAAAACACCAACGGGATTTCAGGTGGCTGTGCACCAAATGCAGCGCCGATGCAGAAAACGTGATCATTAGGGCTTTAATGGAGCCACACGTGACATTCCTCGTCGGAATGGGATGAGGGCATATCATTCAATGTCCCAGAATCGGCGTCAAACGCCACAAGCAGTGCCCATAAATCACATTTCGACATGCAGATCTGCGCGGCGGGACTCCTCGTGACTCTCACTGATGCCGCTGATCACGTCCGCGGGCGATCGCAACGGGAAAGTGCTCATGATTCGCCCGGGCATCGACATGGTGCTTGGCGTGGAGAGTGCGAGTGTCCACAGAGAGTGACACCTTCCAGCACTAACGGATTTCGCGCCGTTTTCGCAACTTGTCTCGCCACTTTTCGCATTCTTTCTCACGTTCGACACGTGGAGGCATCTTCAGGTGACCGCTCCACTCGCCACATCCATCAATCCTGGAGCATGACAGCCTGCACGCTGAAATACCAATGATTAGTTTAATGTTAATTGTTTTTGAGGACAGAAATTTATTGCATTTCACCTATTCATGTAAAGCATGTTCAGCACTTCAAACGCTGCACATTCCTTAATTCCTTGTCGGTTTTTCCCCGTGTTTTTTTTTGGTATATCCTTCGGCATGAGAAACTGACACTTTAATTCAATTTCACGTCGCATAATGACGTAAATTACTATCTTAATAGCGGCAATTTTCGCCTTTCTAAGAACATGTTGCGAGAAATCACTCTCTTGATCATTCTTTCGTGAAGTCGCGAATAAAATGGACTTCCTTTCAATATCTTTCAACATATCTTTCGCATTATACCGCCAAAACTGATGGACGATAAGGAGGCAAAGACGTTAAACCCAAGTATACTTAAAATTCATGAGACTTATCGCAAATTCGGTTCTCTCGCGAGTTGTGGTGAAAAAAAGGGAAATCATTAGTGTACGTGCAAAATAAATTGATATTAAATGACGGTCATTCGTTCAAAATCACACGGGCAGAAGAATCGAGATGAAATATTATTGAGATATGCAAATGATGCATTATTTGCAAATATACAGCGTAATAAAGTGACTAATAAATAAAAAGATTGCTCTTGGCTTTCCTGCGCTTAATGGCGGCTGGAATTAAAGAGGCAAACCCGATCATAAACATTATCTTGGCCGGAGATTTACCATCAATGACATGGAACATGGCAATGGGCAGACAAGTCGCGCGAAAGTGAGAAAAAATGATCTTCCGATGGGATCTGAAAGAGCGATCAACGAAATGTTACCATTGAGTCCATCAGTCATCATTTGAGTTATGATGCAGACGATTTTTTGACGACGTACAATTTTTCATATATCGAAAAAACATGACTCATCACACAGAACGTTTTTCAAGAGCACGAGCCATATTTGCAATATACTGAAAATGGACTTTCCAATCCGCTCTGCGCGTCGATCCCAAGAGAGAGATATGAATGAAGAATTGAAAGATGTTTCTTTTCGATTTCTCCAATGAATCGCACTATTATTGACTAATCATGATCAATTTGCTGAAGAATCGAGCATTTACCGCATTCAAATGTGCCTTTTCACTTTCAGGCTCCCACAAGGTTCACTGCTCTGAAGAGCTGATGCGAGTGGAGATCTCCTTGCCATCGGCCGAGCAGATGCAGAATCCTCAGGTGTATTTGGACGGGATGAAGGGCTATCCTGATCCCCGATGCCAGCCGCAGATCACGGAATCTCTGGCGGAATTCCATCTCTCGCTCACGGATATCTACGAGTGCGGCGTGACGCGGATTGTGAACAAGATCACCGGCAAGAAGGTCTTCTATCACAAGATTATCATCGAGGGCAAGGGCAGCAAAGAAGTCGTGAGCGTGAAGTGCATCACCACCGGTCCAGTGTACAATGTCACAGCCAGAGGTCACGGAATCGTGAGAAGGGACACTCTTCCGGCAGGATTTCAGGAGCCAGAGTAAGACGATCTACATGTTCTTTCACTGGTCAGAGAAACTGACGCTGACGCACTTTCATTCAGGGATCTCGAGATCACGACGATGGTCATCGAGAGGGCGCCGGAACCCATCCTGGGCGTGGGAGTGCGACAGGGAGACGAACTGGTGTCCGGGGAGCTCAACGTGAGTCCCGGAACGCCGCTGCGTATGGAGATCTACCTGGACAAGGCCTCAGCGCCGGTGTACGGATTGGGAGTGACGTACATGCAAGTCACCGATACGCGAACGCAGGAGGAAACGATCATCTTTAACGGGTAATTGAATAGCTTCTTAACAGCTTTAACCGTCTCTTAAGTGATTACATATAATTTGGAGCAGTTTTATGCTTTATCAAAAAGCGTAATGATAGTGGAAAGAAGTGGAGCAAATTGAATTGCAAACATTTGCTTACTTGCTGTCGATTATCGGCAAATTTTCCTGTCTAAATGCTTTTCATCAGTGGCCATAAATCCAGTAAATACGCAACACTAGATAGCATAAAGTCACAAGAGAAGAGACGCTGAGATAAGATGCAATTTAATTGAATGATTCAAATTAAGGAGAGATGAGAAACAAAAAATTGATCGTAATAACGGCATAATCCAATTCGCCCTCAGAATTAGAAGAAGAAGATCGTCAATTTGCAGATTCGCCATATGCTCCATCCGAGATAATTTATCTCGCGCAGATAATAGAGAGCTAATTAATATGGATTCTTTCTCTCTCGCCAGATGTTCCGTGGACCCGTATCTCTTTGAGAACTTCGACACAAGCGACGGCGATTTCCTCACTGCCAAATTCAGGGCCTTCAAATTTCCTGAAACGACTTTCGTGCAATTCCGCGGCACTGTGAACGTTTGTCTGGACAAATGCCAGGGCGTGAGTATCAACACTTTGGGAAAGTGTGTAGGATGTGTGAAACATTCGCGTGCTCTTTGCAGATTCCCTGCAGTAATGGTCAGATTGGCTATGGACGGCGGAAACGAGAGATTCCCTCACAAGCAGATCCGAACAAAGTGTACGAAATCTCGATGGCCACCTTCTTGAAGGTGAATTACGAGAAGGGCGCGGATAAAGGTGAGAATCCACTCGCGAAACATCCATGACAAATCATCATTGATCCACTCTCTTTGCAGCCACACTCGATGAACTTGAGGCGAAGCTGAAGCAGCTGAAGATTGCGAATCAGAAGCTGGCGCGAAACAGCCGCGGAAGCATACAAGAAGTGGACAATTCGAAGCTGAACTACAGATCAGATGGCGAGTCCGCGACCGTGGAGGAAACGACGCTGGTGAAGGTGCAACAGGGAGCGGCGAATGCGGTCACCTGGTCAGTTGTGACAGTACTCCTGGCCAGCCTAGGCCTCCTCCTGGTGTGAGAATGCCGACGAAGTGACCGTGCAGAGAATATTACCGTGATACGCGCCACTAATTGTTAACGACGACTCAACGAACATGTATTAAATGCTCCACTAATGCTTTTCGAGTGTGTATAAAAAGGACGACGATCGAGTGTAGGAGAATTCGAATAACCACCCTCCCTTTAATAGGTATTAACGTGTAAGAGATTATTCATACGCATTGTGATCTCCTAATGATGACGAAAATTTAGGACCTCATGACCTATGAATGTCCAGTAATTAATTGAAAAGCAATTAACTAGTCTTCTAAGTGAAGTAATGAGAGTGAAATGAATAAAAATTGAACAAATTGAGAGACGATAAAGCATGTTTTTTCGAGATTGCTCCAATCTCTTGTGATAAGAGATGTAACGACACACGACTCTTTAAATTTTAAAGAGCCATCTTCTGAGCTCAACTGAAAGCAGCGCGATTCATAGCTTTGCTCATCTGTGCTGTATCGCGTGTGGCGTGGTGAGTTGTCACATCTTGGCAGCGCTCTTTTCCAAACATTGGCGGATATTGTGATTGAAGTAATCAATGAAGCTACTACTTATCAAATTAGCGTCAAAAGACTTCAAGAGTCTCCGAAATTAATTGCTATCTCGCTGATATATTTTTGGTGTTTATTGCTCTGATGATACCTGAAATTGATGAGCTATGAAGGCAATAAATGTTTAATATGTTTATGCGCTACATGGAATCATAAGCGCGATAAGCCGGTGTGGGTTCAGTGTAGATTTCTTGCCACATGTCAAGTGAGCAGCAAATTCCCTCAGTATCGTGGAAAAATCGCGAAAAACAGTGTGAAAGTGTCTGGAAAGCATGCGGCGGTGTCAGTAGAGAGCGCGCCGGCTGCAAGCGACAATGCCAACGCGACGCCGCCTGGGAAACACAGGAGAATCCCACTGGACTGTTCAGGCTTCCGGATGGTGTGTGATGATGCCCTAAGATGCGCCTCATCCAGCAATTCCTCATTGTGACCTTCGTCTCTGTGTGGCTCATTGTCACGTACATCGTGTTCTGGCGGCCGGACACCAGCGGACGCCAGCACGGCGCCGAGGATCCGCTTTACGCCGACTTCCTGGAGAAGCTCAATCTGCTGGAGAAGTCTGTGGACCGCCAGAGTGACGCCTATCAGCGCCTGGTGGCGAAGCTACTCGTGCTGCTCGAGTCACGCGTGGATCACGGCCAGTCACAGCCGCCGGCCACCGCCGGAGCGACAGAGGCCGTCCGGGAGATCCCGCTGGAGGCGCCGGACGACTCGCCGCCCTTCTCGGGACCCACAATTCCCGTGATCGTATTCGCGTGCAATCGCGTGTCCATCAGCAACTGCCTCGACAACCTCATCCAATACCGTCCCAACAAGAAGCAATTCCCCATAATCGTCTCACAGGTAATTTCCCGGAAATCTCGTCGCCCAGAGAGATGGTATCCTGGGCGACTGAGTGCCTCTGCATTCGCACATTTGCGCTCTGCTGAGCACCGGTGGCGCGGTAATGAGTTTCGCAACTCATCCCAATCTCGCTCTGGCATCGCGCTACAGCAAATGATATGCCATTTGGAGAAAAGAGTGCACAGTTCGTGACCGCGCAAATGGCAGCAGCTCAGATTATCCCGGTAGAAGCAGACACAACGTGAGAAGTGTCGCGAGAGATTTAGATTGATTAGATGGACGAGTACTGTGCAATTTTCAATAATTTCCAGTTGAGTTTTCATCACCATTTCCCCCCAGAGTCGCGCGTATCAATTGGAGCTCCATTGAGAAATGTGGGCGAAACCCTTGAACATTATCATCAAGTCAAGGCTATATAGAGAATATCTCTCTCTCTTTAGTGCTTCAGGTTGAAGCGCTCTGTTGTGCCGCAGAAAGGCGAAAATAACTCACTCGCGGTATGGCATATCAAAATACTGCTCCAGTACCGGTTTCTGGCCTTATCTTTGCGCTGTTCTTCAGCCAATAACTTCAGCTGTCGATTAACTAATGTGCGGCGTTTTTTTGCAGGATTGCGACGATGAACCAACGAGGAAAGTGATTCATTCGTACAAAGAACAGGTGTCACTGATCTCGCAGCCCGATCAGTCGGACATTGTGGTTCCGCCCAAGGACAAGAAGTTCAAGGGATACTACAAAATCGCTCGGCACTACGGCTGGGCACTCAACACTGTCTTTTCGCGGGGCTACGACTTCGTCATCATCGTGGAGGATGACCTGAATGTGGCGCCGGACTTCTATGAGTACTTCCTGGCCACGTATCCGCTGCTGCGAAACGACTCGTCGCTCTGGTGAGTGCTTTTCCTGGGCACGTGGCGCCACGAAGAGTGCGCACATTTCGGGAGAAACAATGCCGGGAAGTTTGTCTAATTGGCTCGTGTTGATTTAGGTGCGTGTCAGCGTGGAATGATAATGGGAAGGAGGGACTGATTGATGAGAGTGCAGCACAGTTGCTGTACCGCACGGATTTCTTCCCGGGCCTTGGCTGGATGCTCTCGAAGGAGTTGTGGGCGGAATTGTCAGTCAAATGGCCTAAGGCGTAAGTGAAATTTTTTCCATTTGTTTATCCTTTAAAACACATTGTTTTCATTGCATTTTGGCGTTATTTTATGTTTCTAAGCATTCTGAAAATCTTATATTCACGTAATTTCAGAATCACTAAGTGATATAATTAATATTTCGCAGGTTTTGGGACGATTGGATTCGGCATCCAGAGCAGCGGAAGGAGCGATCCTGCATCAGGCCTGAAATATCGAGAACGAGGACTTTTGGGAAGATTGGAGTATCAAAGTGAGTAAATATCTAGCCGTGATATTTGCACATAAATCATGCGAAATGTTTTATCTTTTAATTTACCACGCGAACAGTGTTACTTTATTCATTGTGCTTTGTTTTAATTAATTGGAAATGTATTCACGCTTTAACAATTCATTTATCAATGCTTTTTCGCAATTATATTCAGCCGCAACAATATAAAGAGGTCACATTATTACTGATTATTCCTTGCCACGTGACAGAGAGAACATTTTACCTTAAATTTGCATGAAAACAGATAATGTGGCAAGCACTTGAATTAACAATATTTCTCTCTACTCCTTTTAGTGGTCTGTTCTTTGAGAAACATCTGAAATACATTAAATTGAGTGAAAACTTCGTACCCTTCTCAAAGATGAATTTAACTAATTTATTGAAGGTAAATATATAGAGAAGTTTTACCGCATTTTCTCTCTCTTCTCAACAAAGTTTCTCTCTAAATACTTGTAGTCAAACTATGACGAGACTTTCTTGAAGCACGTCTACGAGTGTCCTGTTGTGACTTTCGAGGAGTTGAGACGTCGAATGGTCATGACGAAGGATCCCGTTCGAATCCAGTACAATACCAAAGATCAGTACAAGAAGGTGACGAAAATGCTGGGATTGATGGATGATTTTAAGGTGGGCGGCAGTGTTTTTTTCTGTCCTTTCTGACGTGAAGCTATTGATTTTCCCTTGCTAATTGCAGAGTGGCGTCCCAAGGACAGGTTACCATGGAATAGTGTCATTTTTCTACAACAATCAGCGCGTCTACTTGGCTCCGAACATCAATTGGAAGGGATACGATCTCTCGTGGAGCTAACAAACCATCAGGGAGTTTCTAGATGGTTAGGATGATTTAAACGTCATGGAACTGAATTAGAGACATTCCAAGAAGAAGTCATTGTATGAATAGTATTTAGGTGAATTCTTTCGTTGATCCTTGAGTGGAAGTTTTTCAACCGTTAATGATAATTAATCTCTCTTTTGAATACAATAAGAGACCAACAATGATTGCCAATTTGTTCATTAGCAAATTTTTTCTAATAAGAAAACTTTCTATTTAAAATAGGACTTTGAAATTCGTCAGGTGAAAGAAAATCAAGAAATAAAAAATAGCTTAGTGCAGACAACGTGTAGATATTTAGGCAGGAAATCTCTATCATTTTCTCCATCGAACGCTTGCTTGTGCAAGTAAAAAGCAACAGTGGATGTTGAAAATATATCGGAAAAGACTACTTTTGGCATTCACTGTGAAAACCACAAATTTATGCTCATCTGAACGAATAATTGCCTCTGCAAAATGCGGAGTGGAAACACACGGGATAAATAACAATGGTATTTTTTGTATCAACAATAATAAACAAATAAGCCAATCAACATTTTATCAATTTATGCAAAGTGTGTAAAGTGTGTTTGTGTGGATTACTAACTTTTCGTTCATAAACATTATAAGGATTTTAGTGTAAGCATCAATTTAATCCCAGTTGTAGTTTAAGGGCAGAGATAACATAAGGGAGATGTAAGACAAGCCACACTGGCTGTGATATACAATAAAATGGTAACAGTTGCTGAACACCTTGCCTTTCACGATTCCTGCTGATCGTCGATCTGCTCACAATCAATGTCGCTCTGATCGCTTTCGTCTGTGATTCTGGCGTCTTTCGCGACAGCGTCCGGAGTGATTTGCGCCACTTTGTCGCCAATCAGATCGCTGTGGCTGCCAAATACCCTCTCGAGATCGGCGATTCCCGACGAGGACGAGCCAGGAAACTCAGCCGAAGGCGCCACGAGGATGTGGTTGAAGCGCTCGTGCGGATGATAGGGTCTTGAGCTGTAGTCTAAGTGCGATCCCGGGCTGAAGAATTTCCCGGCGGGCGGATGAGGCGACAAGTACTGGTCGTAAGCTGGATGCAAGTGCGAGGCTGGGATTTTGGGTGGGTAAGGCGACGAGGAACGCGAGATGAAGGCTCCTCGCGAGGGCGGTCTTGCGGTGCGTGCCGTCGGCGCCAGCGGACGCGGGATGCCCGGCGGCGAGATCAGCGGCGGGGCGTTGGGCAGCAGGACGGACTGCACAGGCGCTGGGCCGCCAGAAGTCTGGCTGAAGAGCCACAAGCGATCGCCCACGACCATGGGCCGCGCCAGGCCTCCGATTCCCAACTGCGCGTAGTAGTGAGACGCCAGGGACTCCACATCGGCCGTATACTTCCTCTTCCACTTTGTCCGGCGATTCTGGAACCAGATCTTGATCTGGGCGATAGAGAATTAACATAATTTATCGCTTTTTACAAAACATTATACATGCTACACTAAAAATTCAATTTAATTGAACATTTTGAGTTTCTAAATTTCAAAATCATTTGCTTCGCTACTATCAATGTGCAAAATATTTATTAAAACAAACATTTCTGGTAGATAAAATATCATTCATTCCTTACACTCTTGACTTTACAGTTTTTAGAGGACAATAAATGAATTTTGCTATTAACATTAGTGAAAAATGATCCAAGGAGTTTTCATTTTTATATTCTTAGTTTGATGGCTATTTTCAGTGATTCGTATGGAGATCACTAACCTGAGTTTCGGTCAGATGAAGCTGCTTGGCCAGAGCTGTCCTCTTAGCCACCGAAAGATACTTTCCGCGCTCGAATTCCGCCTCCAGCGCCTTGATCTGGGACGCCGAGAACGCCGTCCGGGGCCTCTTCTTGCGATCATCACTTCCATTAGTACCTGCGAAAAGGAGAATTGACTTGTTTCCTCAATTTCTCGACACGGAGACAGACGCGCATCTATTTTCGACGAATGCCGCTGTTGTAATCGTTTCCAAATTGCTATAATCTCCGTCGCTTAATTACTCTGCCTCCTTCAGAGCTTGAACACTTGGACTGACAGCGGTTTTTTCCTTCAACAGGCAGACGATCACAAGATTGATCTGTTAGCGGAGATCTCTATTGGAAGAGACACACTCGAAAATAGATTCCTTGGACAGCTTTTTATGATTTTTCAAACACTTCATTTATGCTTGGGCGATGATCACTTTGTAGGCAATCTATTGATCTATTGATATTGGAGAATTAAGGACACTTACAGCCACCGTCTTCGGAGGCTGCCTCACTGGTATTGTCCAGGATCTCGTCTGTGTTGCCACTGCAATAGTTGATCAACTCACTGCTGTGCAGATTGCATGGAGATCGACTGGACACGACCTGGGGCTTCAGCAGGTTCTCAATGCTGAAACTATTCACCCTCAAATTCGTCACTTTCCTGCTCTCAATGGCGTCCATTGTGAGGACTCGCGCGAGGATCATCGGATTCAGACTGATCTCTCGCCTGCGACAGCGTCTCGAGTGTGAGACTATTCCCGCCTCCTGGTCGGGAAGAGGCGGTGCCAAAACACTTCAAAGTCTTGGGATTTATTTTCAGCCTCTCGAGACGCGCTCGGATCAGGCATCGTCGCAGCCCTAAGTCACTCACCACAGCTTCTGAATCTCCTCTCGCAATCGCCCGATCGCCTCAGTCGATGCTCTCATCCATCATGCGCCGCTACAGCCCTGCTCTTTAGACTCGGCCTCCACTCCAAACAATCCCGGCCAGGCAATTAAGCCACATTTAATAATTCTGTGCATAGCTTAATTGAGATGCAGAAATTCTGTGCGCCAATCTCTCGGTAATGGCGACGACATATTTTCTTAAAAGCGCAATGATTGCAAAATGGATTGGGTCACTAATTAGGCTAGAAAGGTGTCTCACATCGTCAGTCTCGCGGCGAGATAAATTTGGGAGGATGTGTCGCGCTGTGATTGCGTCAATAGGATCTTGATTATTCGATTATTTTCGGCAATTAATTTGGCAATTAATTAACATCAGCGAGCCACTTCTGGCACATTTGTCATCAATCAGGGGAGCGCGCCAGGAAAGCATGAGCAGCTAAATAGAAGCGTGTTAAAATATTACACCACATTTTTCAGTCTGTGGACACTTTTTTGTGCCATCGCGAGGGCATAATATCTTCCCATTCACTTGTCACTCAGATAGGGAGATTTTGCGCAATTTGAAGAGGAGAAGGGCAAAAACAGCAGCTCATTCATCATGCGCAGGGCGAAGTTAGTGAAATAACTCCATATATCAGGCAATTATTGAGACTTTTTGTTCATACTTTCGCGAGGAAAGGAATTATACATGAAACGAGCAGAAAATAAATCAAATTATTTTTGTAGAAGAATTTGGAGAAATTTTAAAATTAATTATACTAGAAAAATGAGTACAAAAGGAACAATAAACCCTCTGAATAGACTTGGATTATTGCATTGAGTACATAGTTTTTGGTATTTGAACTTACGTAGTTAGTGTTTTTTTTTGCCTGGAGGAATTTCTGGCTCATTTAGCAAAATTTAGTGAATGAAGAAAACTATGAATTCCATCTGGGAATTCCATAGTTTGACTTGAGCGGGGAGAAAATGATGAAGAAATATTACCATACAAGAGAAAGATGGAATATCAAGCGATGCTTACAAGTTAATTTGTGTGAAATTCTAGAATGATGAACGGGGTGACAATTTATTTGTCTCATCTAGCATATTTCAATTAAAAAAAAAAACGAACCCAATGCGGTGGTTTTGGTGTGGTAAAAAAGGAGTGAAATCGTAAATCAAAGCAATTGGAAAGTGAAGTCCTAATTAAGAGACTCTCACATTCTGGGATCTCTTTCGTGCGCCACATTAAAACCACATGGCGTCAGAGCATTTCTCCTCATCGCATGATCCTCGGTGATCCTCAGCGATTGCTGAAATACTTAGAAGCTTCATAGCAACATTGTAAATGCAATTCTCAGTTCATGGCGGCGATCATAATTAATTAATGCCCATCAAAATATCTCATCTAATTAACTCGTTGCACAGAAATTCTTCCTTTTCGAATGGCGCACACTAATTGATCGGACTCAGGTGAAGCCTTTCTCCCTTTGCGACTGTCAGTCTAATTAGTGAAGATTGCACTGAGCATTTCTCGACGAGTTGCTGGGCGCGCGCCAAATTGCAAAATTGATGCATTGTCAATGGTGAGATAAAACACGCTAATTTGAATATCAAAATGCCTGCGTGACGAAACAAACACCAATTAATCCATTTCCACAGTAACATGAGTCACACTCTCAGCCGACACATAAGAAATTCAGCTCACACAATTCACATTATGGCTATGTAATGGAAGCAATGTTGTGTTTATATTAATTTGCTCCATCATTTTTGTTCGCAAGACCTTGCAAAGAGTCTCAAAGCAATCCTCAATCGATGATTTTTAGGGAGAAAAGTGTGAGAAATATTCAAGGAATTCAGGAATGGAATGTTCAAGCTCACAGAATGCCACTAATTCCCATTTATTGTCAATTAAGGCAGCATTTAGTCAACGAATATCCTGTTAGAATTTTGGCGCCAGTGTTGATCGCTGCCGCATTCCAGCATCGATCGTGACTTTCCCGCCAATTTCCTGCCCAAAAAGAGTGGCGCCAGGAAAGGATCCTGGGGAAAAATGGAACATTTTCCCTCCAACCTGTGGCCGATTAGTGCGTGCAGCTGAATTTTCCCTTTAACACCACTCAACGTCACAACAGATTATCGATGATCATGCGCTTGTAAAGTGTAAGAAGGCCCATTTGAGGGAATAGCTAATTGATTTATGACTTGAGACCCGATCGCACTACACGATGTCTCCAAGAAGCTGAATGAAAGTGATCCCGAAACATGTGCGATCGCAGGGCGTATTTTCCACAGCCGAAAAGAATCACTCGAGAGACGATCATTCCCTTAAAACCAATGAGTCTATTTTTATAATGTGTGTGGAAAAAGCTGAAAATTGGGAGGCACGCCCACTTCCCAGGATAATTAGCAGTCGAAACATGTACTTGGAAGTGATAAAAGGGAGATTAATGTCTCATTATTCGGAAGCGCGACAGCATCTCCAGTCACTTCTCGAATTTATGCCACATTTTTGCCGGCTATAAATCTCAACCAATTAACCAATTAGACTACAAAGTACATCTTAAATTCTCTATTTTATTTTCATCACCACTCTTTTGAGCCACTCGCATACGCAAATGCTATACTTTTTTCCGCGCGATCGCTGAAGGAGTGAAAAGTGGCTTACTAATTGACTCCTCTTGCAAAATTCTCCGACAACGCCAAATTGCTCGGGATCTGCATTTTTCACACCGCCGCTAAATTAATGGGCTCGAGGAGGGATTTGTGAAAATTTGTAATTGTGCCCAATGAGTTGCAAAGTGTACATCTTTATCAATTTTATTTAAAGAATAGCTGAGACACTTTATGGTTTTCTAAAAATTATTTTTCGGATTATTTACTCTAGTTTTGTATGTTAAAGTTGATTTAAAATGACAAAATGGACAATATTTTCAGAAAACTTGATAAAATTATAGCGTCAGGAGCACAAATGGTAAATTTTGAATCATATTTTGAGACAAATATATTGAATGGTGTTTGCCATCTTTAAGTTAAATTCCCATCTTCAGAATAATTAATTGCAAGAATTATTAATATAAAATTAATTAATACATTTTTGCAGCAAAAGTTTCTCTTGAAATCAGATTGATTCAATGAATGCAGAAGAGCTTGCGAAATGCATAATTTAGATCAAAGTTTCATTGAAAATCGCGCGCGATCATCTCGTGATCCCGCGCGATCACTCAGAGCTTTCTCTCGTTCATCCCAGACACACACTCTGCGGCAGCCTCTCGTGCTGGGGAGATGAAGATCAGCGTGTTGTGAGCTTCGGCTGGTCATTGATCGTCGCCCAAGGCCGTGACATTGTGACTAATCATTAAATAACCGACGACGCATACTGATGAGAGACTCTAGAATCAGTGCGCTTTGTCGAATCGTGTCGCACGTTTTATTGAGTGCCCAAAATAGTTCTTTTGCCCCCGCCGAACACCTTCAAGCTGGCGAGGATCTTCGCACGTCACGTGCTTCGCCTTCTACGCACAAAGATGATGCCGCGAATTTGTGGTGAAGACAATTGTTGCACCGATCGAAAGGTCAAGATCTGCGAGCACGTGGAATTTTTTCACAGTCGCTCAACACGATCTCGTCGTCCTCCCGAGACCTTCCTCTATATGGCGACGCGATCGGCACAGATGAGTCCTTGGGCGTGTGGCGAATCAAGAGACACCTGCTTCAATTACAATATTTTTTTTTAATATATAAGTCTCTCTCTACAAAATCGATAACAATTCTTACAGACAATAGATTTCACTTTAAACACCTTACAATCAATCTTATGCAAATAACAAGGTTTCACTATTATACTAAATAAATATGTTTAAAACACTTACGAGGCTCTGTTCCTACAGACTAAAGATCATTCATGTGATATTACGTCTTGCATTAAATATAGAATAAAATATCATAATTCTCTTGCAGCAATTTCTCCAATAAAGTGTGATTGTGATTAAAGGCAAATTTCAGCATACGATTATTTTATAAAACGTCTTAACCTGTATTTCGAGAGGAAGAGGGTCATCGTTTTGGGGGCTAAAGATTAATTTATTGACGAGGCATGTGTCTTCGCGAAGCGGTGGGACGTCGTGATCGGCGAGCCTCACACGGGCGGCAGGATTTGACCCATCTTGCGGGTCCGTGCCGCGAAGCCTCTCGTCCCGTCGGGCGCCACGGGCGACCGCACGATCATTTGCTGCTCCTGGATGGGCGGATTGTAGGCGCCGCAGATGAAACTGCCGCTCCGGGAGCGCGAGGCGCTGCAATCCGAGCCGATCGAGTGCTTCCTGTCGTATCCACTGTCTGTAGAGATGCGCCGCCCGTTCACGAACTCTTCGGCGCCGGCCGAGAGCTTCCGCATGGGATCAAAGCCGTTGGAGAACTTCCGCGGGCTCACGGGGCTCTCAGCCACGCGGTCCTCGGGCAGGCGCCAGTTGGTCTCCATGCCGCCGTTGGAGGGACGCCGCTCGTAAGCCTGTCCCACGGAGTACTTACGCGGCGAGCCCGCGTGCTCTGAGCACTGCGACAGGCGCCGATAGGGATCCACTGGGTTGGAGCACTGGGAGGCGCGTCTGGAGCAATTGGGGCAGCAATCGGAGCAATTGGAGGAGCGCCGCGAGCTGATTGAGCAGTTGGACAGGCGCCGCGACAAGTCGGAGCATTGCGATCCCCGCCGCGAGTCCACGCAGCTGGAGTAGTCGGAGCAGAGGGAGTTATTCCTGCTGAAGACCATCGGTGGCTGCATGGGCTGCATGGCCTGCATCGGCTGCATGGTCATCGGTGGCATCTGCATGGGCGCCTGCATTGGCGGCGACATCTCGGCCGGAGCCAAAGGCTGGAACGCCCCGGCGCTGCCACGACGCACATTGAAGTGGTCGTAATTCTCATTGTTGTAAGCCATCTTTCTCATGGGAGGCACATACACAGGCTGATCAGGCTTCGAGTAATACCCCGATTGAGTGCGCCTGAAGCGGTACTTCGCGAAGGAATCCTCAACGGCTCCGCCTCGACTTCTCTCCATGTCCGCCTCGGTGACTTTGCAGTTCTCAATCAGGCGCGTGACCTGAACCTTCTTGCCAGTCTTCTTCTTGGGCGCCACCATCTCCAGCACTGTCATGCCGGGCATGGCCTGGGCATTTCTGGCGGACTGGGACTCCAGGAACTCAATTAGGGCGCACTCCTTGTGCTGCAGCTCCGGGTATTTGTTGATGAACTGGCGAACGTCGGCGGGAATCGGGCCTCCCACTCGCAGGATGCGCACCAGAGCGATCTCTCCGCACTTGGAGAACAGATCGAACACCCTCTCGATGGTCATGCGGCTAATGGGCAAATCCGTGGCCACGACAGTGCGCGAGGGCGTCGTCTCATCGTAGACTGGCAGCGGTTCCAGACGGCGAATCTTTGTGCCCAGATCATTGAGCTCAATCCTCTCGCTCCTCTTCCTGATGGCGTAGCCCACAACTCTCCAGTCCTTGACGAGTTGCCGCACGCGCTTAAAGCTGGACACCAGCTTGAGACTCACGAAGCCCTCCTTATTCCGGCGCACATGCTTCAGGAGAAAGGCGTCCTTGAGGATGTTCTCATTGGAGAAGTAGAACTCAACTTGCTCTATGATCTTGTCACACATCTCATCCGTGGGAATCTCAATGGGCGGTTCGTCCTCAGCCTTCTTGTCTCCATCCTCATCGGACCTCTTGGCCACATCACATCCAGAATCCTTGGCATTCTCGTCCGAGGACAGAGAATCCGAGTTCTGAAGATGCTGTACTTCCTGCGAACTCTGGCGATCGTACGACAGAGACAGATCGCTGTCGATGGAGCTGATGGAGTCCTTCGTGTCTGAGTGCTTCATGTGGCGCGGCTTGAACACCTGGACGTCCTCGTCCTCTTCGTAGCTTCCCTCGTCGAGCTCCTTGTAGGATTCGTGATGTTCCAGGATCGTGTGATTGTCCATCATCAGCGGACTCACGCTGTCATGTTCCTCCTCGTCGTCCGAATGCAAGGGAATTTCCTCCAGCTCCTTCGCCTCGTCCGCCCGCTCATACTCGATGTCCACGAGATCCTCCGCGGGATCGTCGTGCAGATTGATCAGTTCGCAGTCCTTTGCGTCCAGATCCTGAGGCTCGGGCGCCTCCGCGACATACGGAACGGCCGGAGGCCCCACTGGAACTGCCAGAGTAATTGGCACGACATTGGCATTCAAGTCTTTCCCCGGGGAAGACATTCTTCAGAGCTTCCTCTTCCTTCGCAACGGCAAAAAAAAACTAATGGGAACTACCTAAATTCCTAGTAAGTAGTATGGCTAATTAATTTCTATCACTTAAGCTTAGTTAATTCGATAAAGCGCAGAAAATTCGAGGAATTCCACCCTTGCTTTCCAACGACACGCTTTTATTAACTCCACACAGCCAATTATCACTGTTGCTCGATTAATTAAATTACACCCTAATTATTTTTATACTATTCCTCAAAGCTAATCCCACCTTCTGGCCAAAAAATGTGCCCACCGTCTCGTGCTAACGACTCGGTGTAATTTTATGTTTTAATTTCTGCTTTAACTTCTCTCTCTTTCTCGCTCTTTCTCTCTCCTTTCTGCTTCTATTAGTTATGGTTTATTAATACTGGAAGTTTTATAGAGTCTCTTACTTCTTTCTCTCTTGGGGGGCACACCGAGCAAAAAAGGTTATTTTATAAATAAATTATTGTGTTTATGGTGTATGCAGCAGTAGAAGTGTAACTAAATCGTGCACTTTCACAATTTATATACCTCTTGGGCTTCTCTTTGTATTTCAGCAAGAAAGAGTGATGTATTCAAAAAAAGGTCTCTTTCTTTTCGATTTTACCGAGCGATTTCGTACAGACAATTCTTTTTCTCGCTGAACTTGACGGCCTTTTCTCTCGCGCGAATGTTTTCCAGTGTGTCGTGACGACGATCGGTCTCTCGAGTTCTTCTGAATCTTGATGTCTCTTTAGTGATCTCACTTGCTCCGGATTCACTGTGAATCGATGGTAACTCGTAATGACTATTTCTCTGAAGATTGCAAAAAGTCAGCTACTGCCACTCTCCTTATGTCAGGGATCCAAGGACCTAGCTTTAACTTTTCTATCACAAAACTCCTGCAATTGCCACTCCTCCAGCGTCCTTGTCTTTTAATGTCTCTTGCACAATTCTTAATTCTTTTAAGTATCACACTGAGGGTAATCCAATCACTTCACAGGATCATCAACTCTATAGACTCGATGCGAGACTCTCTTCTGTGGGATGCTGATCAACGGACACCTTCGTGGATCTGACTGAGAAAATATGATGAGTGCAGATTATTTGGTGACTCTTCGCGTGCCGCTACACTACTCGGAATAATTGAAAGACTGAAATAGTGCAATGAATTCGTGCCGGTTATATACACTCCACTCCCACCAGCCACCACTCTATCAATTTTTCGCGCACCACGTCGACTGAAGGCGCGCGCGAATCGCGACTCTCTTGCTCACTTTTTCGACTCTTCAAGGGAATTTACACTCTCGATGCACACACGAGTATATAAATCCAATTGTTAACACCACCAAACACCACTCATACACAACAATATTTACACCAGCGACATCGCAACTGGTGGGAATCTCAGTGTTGATCACCTCTCCGAGTGCTTATCATGGGCCGAGCACTCTGCAAAGTCTCGAGCCTTCATCTGTGAAGAAAAACATCGCGCTCGCACCATGGAAAATTGTCACAGTGCATGAAAATGAAGGTGACATCAGAAGAAAAGGCGAGCTGTGATATTTTTATTTGATCAATATTACAAGCAAAAATTGGAGGTTTTCTCTTCTCTTGCCAGTGAAGTGGAAAATTTTCAATGGAAAAGCCCACAAAACATTTCGACTGAAAACAGTCACATATTTTTGTACAAAATCGGTGAATTTCTTCTCCAATGTGACTTCAGGTGTGCATTTTTTTCCCTCCGCCCATTTGTACAATGCGAGAAAGAGAGAAAAATGACAATTTTCAACTTGAAGCTCAGCAGCGAACACAGAAAAATTCCCTCCCAAAAAACTTTTGTGAAAGTAAGACACGTTAATGACCTAGAGACTTGGTATTTAAACTCTAAAAATTGTTAATTCACACCGCAAGAGAGTGTTTTCGGTGTAGAAGAGCGAGAGAGAGAGAGAAGTTTATTTGCAGATTTGCTACATCACACTCGCTTCGCAATCTTCTATGTGCACAATTGATCACGCATGAGGATCGCGCGCGATGCAATCAAGATCAAGAATGTCACTGTGAATTTTCACAGGAAAAACATGGCGATATATAGGCGATTAAGATCATATGAAAAATACATGAGATGCGATTAGAGAGACAAAATCCATCGTATCAATGGCTAGAAATATGACTTTAAAAATATTTTGTTGTGTATTTGGTTCAAGGACCACCGTTGATCGATCAGTATTTGATGAATGATCGGAAAGTGTCTCGAGACACATTGCCATTAAGATAAAAAGCCTCTCTCTCTCTTGTGCTGCGCGACTCACGCAAAAATACATAATAGGAAATTTTTAGCAAATGCACTGAAAAATCACACACATTTCCACAAAAACCATTCTGTGAGAGCGATCGCGAGACAGGGACAGTGTGCGAATGAAAGTAACCACAAGACCGTGACTGCTGATCACGATCGGATGTGAATTGTAGCGAAGTGTGATTAATAATTAGTTTTGCTTTATTAAATCAATTTTGTTGGATCTTTTTCGCCAGAGCGCCACTCTTTTGGCCACTCCATCTCAATTAGGAGCGAACGCAGGAGGGAGAGATGTGAAAGATTGTGGATTCCCGATTAGAAAAAATACAGTTACGGCAGAATTACCCATTCTCACAGCTCGTCAAATGGGGTTTTTTGGTTGAAGAAATAGCAGCACAATTGTGTGGAACTAAATTACTCTCCGCCGTTGACACTTTCTTGAGCCACATTTCTCTGCAGAAGGATGAAATATAGCCATAAGTGGGCGGAGCTTCCAAATGGGCGGAGCTTAATAAATTTCTGTCGAGGAGCCTAATCAATATTTAAGTATTTAGTACATTTTCATCTATGATTTTGCACCGAATTCTGTTGGTGCTGCACATTGATAAAGAATTGAATTTCCCATAGAGTTTAAGTGCAGACATTCCACGCCAACTATAATGGTTCGCTTTGCATTTTGAATTGCAGACTGGTTTCGAGCCAGTCTTCGTTGACATTTCTTCAAGCACCAGCCTTTCTTGCCTCCGGTGTGTCTTTGTCAATCCACATGCATGTGCCGCTTATATAATCAATGCTAATCGCCTTCCCGCGGATGGATTTATTGGGCGAGTGCGTGCATGAGAAAAAATGGCCCGAATGCGTGCGTGGTTCAATGGGTGTTGGAATGCCATTTGACAATTCATTACGAGTCACATTGCGAACTTTGCGAAAAGGTGCAGATGGCGAGATTTTGCCCAATTGCCATGAGTCGCAATGTTGGTGGGGAAAAGTGTGCGCGCGGAGTTCAATAAACCGCCTGAACAATTAATTGCTGATCACGATTGAGAATTGTCCGGAGACAAGGAGCACTCTTGTTGAGCCTTCAACTCAAGTTTACACTGGAAGCCAAGGCTTTCCTTCGAAACTCACCCGTCTTTTGAGCCATGTTTCTGTTGGTGTGGAAAAAAACTGGCAAGAGCTTGTTTGCCACCCACCACCCTCTCGGCCAAATTGCCTCTGATATTGACCTCTTCAGGTTTGTATTTTGTGCAGAAAGTCGACAAAACACTGGAATTTTACAGCTCTTTGGCTCTTCCTGTTCGAAATGGTGTTTTGGAAATGCACCAATTTCACTTTACCACTTGATTCAGTGATATTTTCTTTCACAAAATTTTAAATGCCAATTAGAATTTGAATTTTGACTTACAGCCGCATAAAACGATTTCGCATTGCTGCTTAACGAGCTAGATAAAATAAAACACAAAAGCTCTCTCATTTCACAAAGTATTTCAAGAATGTCTCTCTTCGCCTCTCGCCAGTTCCATTGAAACAATATCCACAGCAGTTTGCATTAATTCTCGCTGCTTTCTAACAATTTCTTCGAGTGCAGCAATTGATTGAAAATGCTAATAACAAATTGCCTTTTCAGTCAAGTGAGAGAGAGAGAGAGAGAAAAAGGCGCTCTCGCGAGGTGTTTTTTGGGCAATGGCACGAGATCACAAGAATCTCTTTTACATAATTTCACACTCCACGAGTTTTTCTTCACTCTGTCTCGATGATAGAAATTTGCGAAAAGAGTTTCCATATGCTGCTCTCGCGTTTCGGTTTAGTGAAAGAAAATATATAAGACATGCTGAATAAAATGACGATAAAAGTCAATGTACGGATTTTAATTGAGCTCATCTTTGAAGCTGTTCATGAATTAGACAATATAAAAAATTGTGAACGAATTTGGGGCAGTTTCTTCGAACAGTTTCACACAATTTCATGATTTTGGTAGAGTTTATGTGAGATGAAATGTGTCAATCGTTATGTTTTCTAACAGAAAATATACTGTGAATTGTTTCAGAACTCTGAGAAGATCTGTTGCACATGCTTAATTTCTCCGTTAATTAAAATTCACAGTGATAATTGATAAAATGTATGCAAAAGCCAACCAGAGCAATGAAAATGTGTTACTTTTCGTATACATTATAGTGATTTTCACTAAATTACCGACTGGTTAGAGCCATTTTGTAGCAACATTATTAAATATTGGATTAAGATCAAATATTTTGGCTAAATTGATAATTAATTTGAAAGCTGCGGTGTTAATTTACAAATTCTCTCATGGAGGTGTAATAAAAACCAAACTGGTTGATGAAACATCAACTTTTTTATGATTATAAAAACATTATGAATCACAATGTTTGTATCTACAGAAGCATTTGGGGAGAATTCGAGCAAATATTTCATAATATGATTTCTTTTGAGATCTTCATATGATCAGCATGACGATCGATATCCAATCTATGCCACTTCAGAGTTAATGAGTCAATATATTTTAGACTAAATAGACTCTAGTTATTTAAAATTGCTCCTATATTTAATTACTTTGCGTTAAAATTAGCCATAAAAAGTATTTATGGCACAGATCACCTATGGAGAAAATAATGACCAATACGGCGTTTGTTATTGAAATTGTGTGTGTTTTCTCCGAAGCCGCCACAAATGAGCCTCTATTTATTAACTATGATCTATTAATGTGTGTTATACGAGACGTAGTGAGTGAAAAAAGAGGAGATATAATGCAATTGACATTGACTCCGCTCACTTGATATCTCTTATGTCTCTTATGTGCATTTAGTGATATTATTGTGATTTTTCCCACAACCACTTAATCGCCGCATTGACCTCTGCTTGGATGCATTTTTTCCCGCCGTGCTTTGCATAAAAGTCTGTGTGTCTTGTCTTGCTTTCGCATGTAGTGAGACACAGTGAGCGGAAGTAAATAGCACAAGACTTTTCCTAAAATCATTAGCATTGTTCGTTACATAATTGACTTCCGCGGTTCGATATCGTGTGGGAGATTGAATGGAGGGGTGGATAAACAACACTTTAGTGTGGATATAAAAACGAGGAATAAATTAATCAAGCGCTGACCTCTAATTGCCGCGAAATTGATCTGCACTTGGTGTATTTATTTGTTGTTTCTCTGTTTGCGCCACTTGATTAAACACTCCACAAGTGACAAAACATAGTTCAATATCTTTTTACCCAGAAGATCGCATTTTCGCTCTATGGAAAGTTTTTGGGCACTTAATTTTTCACCTTTGTGCCACACGCAAAGTAATTTATTTGCCAGTCACTATTTGATCGAGAGAGGCAGCAAATTATTTGCCCACAAGTGCCATGAAATTTTTCTCCGAAGAAATTATCAGGTTTGGAGCAGTTTTGCTCGGGTGACAAGAAAATTTACTGCGTGGCTCAATTGCACACGATGGACTTAGAGAATACACCCGTGCGGATTATTAAATATTTAATATATTGCTTAATATCGTAGCTTTATTTATTACACTCTCATGCGAATTTCAATATACATTCACTTGCTATACACTTTTCTGGAGCAATGTCATCTGAGACAGTTTGTCTCGCGCGAGCCGATGCCTTAAGAGCACCTCATCAGTTGAAGGTCTTTTTCTCCCCATTTCAGTGCCTTTCTCAGGGGGTCAATTTGTGCCCTTTTCGCGTCGAACCAACAAAACCACACAAACATCGCGAGGCAAAAGATCTCTGGTGACTCGCAAAAGAACACAAAAGAGACACATCAATTCCATGTACAATTGAACAATTGAGAGATCATCAAGGATTTTTCATGAAAATAAGTTCAAATAAATATTTTCTAACGGTTCAAAGGAGAACACTGCGCTTGTAACAGCAGA